AATGCATCGAGAGACTGCACAATTACCTTTGCGGGATGCATCTTCTTTATGTCTGCCTCTCTGCTCTGACCTTCACAATAACAGAGACGAGTGGCGGCTGGCGAGAGCCGCGGTAATCACCGCACAACACGCAGAACACCAGCCAAAGATGAGGGCTTGAAATCCCTCTTAATTGTGATAAATACACATCAGAATTGCTTATTTGCTTCCATTCCATGCCGCGTTCGACACTGGCGAATCAACGGGTGGAATTGGTGCGTCCTTTGTGTGATGGTATAGCTCAGCTTGGGCTGTCTGCCTCTCCGGCATTTGGAGAACATCGCCGCTTTGTTTCCACCATAAACATATGCATATCTAATACTCGGTGATTTGGGAATAAAAAATAATCACAAACACAGCACACCGACACTCCTGAGCGTTTAGCGAGATGCTGATATTCATAATTTCACATCAAAGGATTATTACAATGAGCAGCAACATGTCGGAATGTGATTATAATAACAAACAGGCCAATTTTCATCATTTGCATGTGTAGCTGGCAGGAAATACTTTCAAGAAGTTGCAGCGTGACATGCTATAGTCCAATTTTTAGCTCATTTTATTATAATCGTTATGCATGCAGCTTTTATGAGCCAATATTAATTTAGAACCTACACGGAATAAATCTGCCACACCGCAGGCCCATTTAAAACAATCGACGGTGAAAAAACAAAAGATATACACTTTCCCTTATACATTCATTTACATTTTTAACCTGAAACGGAAGCGATTTGCATCACATATGGCGTCTTATTAATGGACCTGTTGATACACAAGCCATTAGAGAGACGATGCTTTATAATGCAACACCAAATAAACCCCAAGCATTTCACAATGCCACAGCTCGGCTCTCAATCTATGGATCCACTGCAGCACCGTAGGAGAGGAAATGGAACAATTTAGCACTTTTGTTTGCTCACAGTGAGGGAGGGAGGCATTGCTTTCTTCAACACAAAGCCAACTTTGTGTTTAGTGTTGTGTATAAATTCACGCCAACCAATCTCTCTCTCTCTCTCTCTCTCTCTCTCTGTGAATTCGCGTCCAACTCTTTCAGAGTTGCTTCGCCCAAGAGCACAATCCCTCCCTTCCCAACACTCGCTTACAGCGTTAGTAACCAGCACTGCATTAAAAAATAAACTCCCAAACATTCCTTGAGAATTTCAGCCCCGGTGTTATTCGGTTCAACTCTCAAGTGGAGCCACATAACGAATCACAGAGTGCAATTTAGCCCTTCAGAATGCCGGTCGGAAACAGGTGATAAAGGAAGCACTCATGCACTGGCTATGAAGTCCCCCCCACCCCCTCAAAATTAATTCCATCTTCAAGATTCCTATCTCTACGATATGCTCGGAATGGCACACAAATACGCTCCCGCCAGAAAGATTACTGCAGACTGACTTAGCATAAACATCTCCTGCTGTTATGACTGGCAGGGGGTAGAATATAATTCTAATGTCGTGGCCTATTTAGACGTAGGTGCATTAGTGTAATCTGCGTGTTCCGAAAGAGAATTATAAAATAATCAAGCTCGATGAGAGTTTTGTCAAGCTTGCTAATGATAACCATTCACAGTCCGGTCAGGCACACAATCTTGTGGAGTTGCTACAGTATATGAATCGGGCCGTGTTTACATTGTAAAATGTCACTGGCTCTACGGCTGATATTTTGTACACACACTGCAGTTGAATTATTGCATATAATTTAACATTAGTTCAACAAGCTGTACGGTGCACGCAGTGCGGCGTGAATCAGTGCTGCCTAATTTAATACTCCTGAAAGCTAAGGAGAAAAAAATACCTATTGTTCGTATGAGTTTATGTAAGAAGGACCAGTGATATTCTAAACATAATCTTGTCATCTAAACACAAAAATGGATGAATTTGCAATAAAAAGTTTTGATGATAAAGATAACACATACCTGACTAGTGTAAATAAGATACAGCCTTGTTGCAATTTCAGATCATTAGTAATTTCATTACTGCAGATTAATTCAGCGCAACACCTGTCATCTGAAGACTATGCAATACTCAAGCAAAACAGCAATACAACAGTCATATTAAAACTTCAGATCAACAAAACATGAAAGAAATACGCACATTAAATCCATCACCATTTTCTAATAAATACATTTCAGTCCTCAAACAGCCACTTGATGCTTTATAGTCTTATCCCAATTTCAGATCTAGAGATCAAATAATTTCATAATTGCAAGATTTAGTGCACCACCACCTGTCATCCAAGTGAAAAAAGGCTGATGAACAAGTAATATTCTCACAAAATGACAGCAATTTCATAACTAGATGAATTTAGTGTCATGTTTTCTTCATCCTCAAGCATTTCTCAAACATCTGCTTTATATACACATTAAAATAGTCTTGTATCACAATTTCAGATCTATTGATCTGACAAATTAATTTAGTCCACCACCTGTCATCAAGTGTAAAAGGCACCAGGAAATATAGCCTACTCAATAAGCAGCACAACAACAAAAAATCTATCTTTTAGCATGCACCCTACTATATAAAATATCTACAAATATAAACTAGTGATTGCAATCATGCACCTGTAATGTATGTAGCCTATGTGTTAAACACCAATCCAAGTGAAAAGCATTTCAGCTACATCCTATAGCATACACCTGACTACTGTATATAACTAGTCTTGTGATCAACTACTGTCATTTCCAAAGTGCAGATTTATTTACTGCTCAAATTACAGAGTTTCTGATCCAACAGAGGACTCAAATCCGCGTCGACCTACGCTGAAACTTCCGCCCTTGCGCCCATTATTTCACAGCAGTAAACAGTGTGTTTTACTCAGATTGGCCTAATGCCGCGAAAACAAACGGCGAGCGGATACAACGCTGCAACATGGTCGCGTTCGAACGTTCACAAATTTCCCGCGAAACCTGCCAGCGGCTCGACACAAGCTGAACACATTCAACGGTCATGTCCTCTGCCCACCAAAACACACACACACACACACACACGCACGCACAGCAAAAACACACACACTCACTGCTTCTGTCAGCGTGTATACCTGTTACCCAACCCCTCACACACACTCCTGCGGAAAGGGCAAAGTTTCACGTCTCAGTCCAAAATGCCCGTCAGCGCACGCGTTTCCACAGACTCACAACAAACCGAGCGTTTACCGTTCTCTTCTGGAAGGGTCTTGCTGAATGCTGGGCTTGGTGGGCGCCATCTTCCTGCAATTATTAATTACACTTTTTTTCCTCCGGATTTCACGCGGCGAGCAGCTGACAGCGGAACCGGGAGCATTGAAGCAACGCCATCGGTGGCACCGGAGCGCTCGTGCTGGTGTCTCCGTGCGTTAAGACGCGTTCAGACGAGCGCGAGACCAGCCGACGCTGAGATCCAAAGGCATGCCAATAAAGTGAGAGGAAACCCGGGGACGCTCGCGCGATCCGGCGGCTGTCCTCGCGGGGGAAGCGAAGGCAGGAATCAGTGCACGAGAGGGGCTTTTACATCACGATGTGCCCCCTCGAACACAGCCGCTTCTTCCCAGTATGTTCGTTCGCATTTTTCAGCCTTTTTCCTGCCTCTCTCTCCCTCTCATCTCCCTCTCCTGCCGGCGCAACAACGCCACTCAGTTGTAGTTGGAAATAGTTTTGAGTTTATGCGGAATATACAGGTTGTTTGTGATGCATCAACGAAAGGATTGGAGAAATCGCTTCATGACAGCTTTTGAACGTTTGCTTTCGTGCTTTCTGTAACGTGTCGAATGCTATGATTGACAGCTGTCAAAATCAACTCGCATGCCAAGTTGATGATTTTTTTTAATCTGAGACGAAATTATTTTGAGCCAAGCACTAAGAGTGAAAACAAAATGTTTTTAAAATTAAAGATATAAAAGAGATGGGCTATATCTTATGCAATGTCCATGAGTTAGATTTAAAGATAAATGCATCAGAAAAACGTGCACGGTTCAAGTTGTTTTTTTTTTGTTTGTTTTTTTTGCACTAATGCACATTAAATACATTATTTATATTTTTCTAAACGAATCCGTCTTGACATAAATAAAGGCCTGTTTTCTGATGTGCATTAGAACCTGTGACCTGTCAAGGTCATGGGCTGACAGCCACCCCGTTTAATGTCCTGTTCATTGTGTTGTGCTCTAAACAGACTGTTTAATTGAACGTGACAGTATATGTAAGCATGTGTGCACTTGATTCAGCTGATATACTAACATCAGAACATTCACATCCATTAACGCCAGTCTACGCCTAGTAGATGATGAAAATTACTGTGTGAAAAAATAGTCTGTTTAGCAATTTTACAGACTTTACAAAGACTTAATGTCTATTTGTATGAATCTAAATCGCACCATGTGATTTAGTGGCGCTTTCTTGGCTTTGGAGATTGATTTATTTTTTTAATATCTTGTTTAATCTATTAAAAACTATTGTTCTAGGATGAAAATACGAATTATGCATTGATTTTTGCATGCAGTTGTCATTTTAAATGAATAATTTCAGATCATTTGTTCTGAAGAGAGTTTTTCTGTGCATTGAAATAGTTGGCAATGCCAGTTTTGTAATGATCACAGTTGCTTTGGATATTTAAGATGCTTATTTGTAGGAAAATTTGAATGCAAAACATTTATATTGGCTATAAATCATAATATGACTTTTCTTTACATGTGTGTGTGTGCTGTGGAATTTGACACATAGTAAAACTTTACAGCTTCAATAAACGGCTTGCTTTATATCGTGTGGTGTTTTGTGTCTAATAAATGAAGCAAACCCCGGATCTCAGTGAAACTGGGATGTTAGGAATCTAAGTTTACACTTTCAGCAACCTCCAGGGAAATCCTGTATTATTTTATATATACACCTGTTAACGGTGAATGTGAATGGACGCAACAAATATGACATGAATAGTATGGATGTCACCTAAACGAGAGGGGGAAAAAACATGTTTTGCGTTTAGTCAGCGTACCTTTGTTGGTAAGACGTCAAGCCTTGGACGTTTTGCGGGTTCCCGTTAGCTACCGGGAGTCTGGACGCAGCCGGCATCCCTCCACCGGCTCCCGCACCTGCAGCCGCCGCCGCCGTCACCTGAACACTGAAATCCGGGAAGATCCTGATCATCCCCGAGCGCGCACCGCGATGCTGCACCAACCGAGCGTGTGTGGATCAACCTTCCCTCCGGTCCGACAAATCACAGCAGCACAATCCCATTAGTGACGGAAACAAGCTCATCGGCCATTCTACGTCTTGTTTTCTGCTTTCAGAGGAGAGAACTGCTGCTTCTAGAGGGTTGGTGATGATGGTGCTCGCAGACTGCCGCCTCTTTGCGCGTCCTGTGCGCTTTTACGCGGAAAAGTTTCTAGAGCTCCAAGCTTTCCCGACGAATCCGAGCTTAAGTTTTTAAAGGTAAACTTCCTCGAAAGCGTGTCATTTAACCATATCCTCCAATATATCAATGCTCTGACTTTCTATGCGACTGCTTGTGAGCCAAGTTTGACTAATAACTGTCAGTTTAGGAAACTTAAAAAGTGACGCACTAACGCCTAAAATCTTAAATCAAAGTATCCTAACGTTATTTTAAGTTTACAACGCGTAAATAATATGCATTTTAGTTTTGAACATACAGCTACAGGCTTTAAATAGCCACAATAGAAAAGAAAACGCGCATGCGACCCTTTCCTTCTAGTGTAAAGGAATGTGTGCGTATAAATAAACGAGCGCAGAACTTTTGATCAGTCCTGAAAAAGCTCTGTTGATTAAGATCAGAGACAGCTGTCCATTCGCAGTGTGGTTTAGGAAACAGATCTAAGTATGTACGCGAGGAAAGTCCAGTGCATGGTGTGATCTGCTCGCCTCCTACTGTTGTGATGATGATGTGCTACTGCTTTCAGTTTCTGAGAGAAGGAACGATCAGCTTCTTCTTCTGGTGCTGATGCTGCAGAGGTCAGGTGCTGTCAGTGCTGCTGCCAGGATCAAGGTCTAAAGCTGATGGGATGTTTGCTGTGTGCATGCTCCTGGTGTGTTGTGTTGTGTTGCCCTGCTGTGTGTGGCAATGCCATCCCTGTAGTGCGTGCGAGATGATGAACTCAGCCGCTCTTGCAGCTGATCAACGGCGCGCGCTGCCGCCGCGCAGCCAATGGGACGCTCGCACGGGAGCGCGCAGCGGTTTACCGCAGCAGTTAACCCTTTAAGAGCCGAATGATGAGGACCAGCTAGAATATTCACAGATGAGAAAGACACATGCAACTGTAAGGCTAATCATACTCAATGAACTGAAGTTATAAAAATATAAGAGAAATCAAAAAGCACTACTGGAAAAATAATTAGCAATGAAATAGACTATACATGCATTCAGTGGCTATTGGAAAAAACAAACGCAAACACGCAGTTTTCAAACAACACTTTCATAAAAAGAAGTTTGGGTTTACATGCATTTACAATAAAAATCCCCCAAAAAAGCAAAAATGTAAATATTATATATTTATTGTGATATGTTAACTAATGCAATGACATTTGTCTTACTATGCGATTACTTACCATTTTTATTGATCTTGTGCAATAATTATGTACTGTATACTTTCTTGTGGTGTGGTTTTAGATGTGTAACCTAGTAGACTTGGTATCAGCATGGTAAACTAGTTACTTATGTAGTTTCGGTAGACGTTATCCTTACAAATGTATATATATATATATATATATATATAAAGTATACACAAGAATATTTTAAGTATACTTGTAGTAAGTATACTAATATCTGTGTACTAGTAGGCTAGTATACTTGTAAGTGTACTATTTTAATACTACTTGGGACTGAATGATACACACTGTATAAAGGTCCTAGATCACATAGTTGTCCAAAGTGTATTATGGAGTTTTTGTGTGCTGATTTTCTTTCTTTCTTTCTTTCTTTCTTTTCAGAAAGTTATTTTGTGTATTGTGAATGCACGGTTTTCATTCCAGTCAGAAATTAAATATGATGCTATCCTATAAGATGTTTTCAGAAGAAAAGTAGGCTATAATTTTGGAGCATGTATATCTTGAGGAGAAAGATGACTTGGTTTACAAACAAATGGAGAAAAGTTTGCTCATGAAAAAATCACTCTCTCTGAGCAAACAACATGATGTTGACTGTGTTTGAGCGTCTCCTACTCAATTTCATGTTCGTCTGAAGAAAAATAAGCACTTTACACAAGAGCAGATGCAAGTACAGATGAAGAGAGCAAACAAAATGATGTTGACTGTGTTTGAGCGTCTCCTCCTCAATTTCATGTTCGTCTGAAGAAAAATAAGCACTTTACACAAGAGCAGATGCAAGTACAGATGAAGAAATGAAATTAAAACTCAGAGAAAGGCAGCATGTTCTCCGCTGGTTTAATTGTGTGATGGTGGGTGCGTGTTGCTTGTAAGTTGCTCCTCATTGACTCTTCTGTTCTTGAACTGTCATTGTTGTGAAAGTGATTGAGTGTTAACCAATAAAATATTCCAAAATGCAAATATTGAGCTGCATCCACATCAACACTCATGAATCTTCTACTGTAGCTCACTTGTCCTTTGATAAACCAAAGACGGCTATCTGTTCACGCTGTATGAGTATAGGTTTATGATAGTTTATCAAACATTTGCAGCTTATTAATGATCTCAGTGTGGACATAAACCAACCTTTGAAATCAGCAGGAAGTCCTTGAAAGCAAAGCGTTGGATATCTGTTAGTCACCAGCAGATTTGTAATTGTCAGTGAGCATATTTACATGTGATGCATTTGTACAGAATGTCAAGTGATACGGCACAAAGGAAAAGTTCTGATATGGTTCATTGATGTATCAGCTTTGTCTCAGATGTTTCTTCATAGAAGAAATCAACATAGACAGAAATAGAAATACAGTGAGAGTATAGAGCTATAAAATGAATGTGAATAGCAGCTCATATTTAATGAGAAATGTTTGAGTTCCTATTGAGAGTTCATACACCAAAAAAAGTAGTGTAGAAACCGTTTTTTTTAGTAAATTTCACAAACAATTACAAATAAACAGCCAGCAATATGCTGAATTAAAATTTGAAATAAAAAACTCTATTTACAACTTTGAAAAATCATTGTTGAAATCTAAGCTCAATTTGAGATCTTACAGTTTTTCTCAGTCGCTTTGGTGCATTTCTCGAATCATCCTTAATATTTGCAAAGAAGTATGGGCATTTCTCAAAACAGTTTGTACAAACAGCACCACACTATGGATTACCTGCAAAAGCCTGTAATTTACACAAAATCTCTCAAAAGTAAGTATTTATGTCAATGCACATATCAGTGCCATCAGAATGAAAAGTCCTTGTGTCATTGTTCACAAACAAGATAGTCAAAATGCTTAGTCATGTTGTCAATATAACAGTGCACTTTGTTAGTATTACCTGATGTAAACTATGGCAACAATTTGGATGACAGTTACTGTATTGAAATGCAGAAGGCTGCACTTCTTATGTATGCGAGCACAGAACTTTTTATCAGTCCAGTGTGTCCTGAAAAAGCTCTGCTGATTAAGATCAGAGACAGCTGTCCATTCCCAGTGTGGTTTAGGAAACAGATCTAAGTATGTACGCGAGGAAAGTCCAGTGCATGATGTGATCTGCTCGCCTCCTACTGTTGTGATGATGATGTGCTACTGCTTTCAGTTTCTGAGAGAAGGAACGATCAGCTTCTTCTTCTGGTGCTGATGCTGCAGAGGTCAGGTGCTGTCAGTGCTGCTGCCAGGATCAAGGTCTAAAGCTGATGGGATGTTTGCTGTGTGCATGCTCCTGGTGTGTTGTGTTGTGTTGCCCTGCTGTGTGTGGCAATGCCATCCCTGTAGTGCGTGCGAGATGATGAACTCAGCCGCTCTTGCAGCTGATCAACGGCGCGCGCTGCCGCCGCGCAGCCAATGGGACGCTCGCACGGGAGCGCGCAGCGGTTTACCGCAGCAGTTAACCCTTTAAGAGCCGAATGATGAGGACCAGCTAGAATATTCACAGATGAGAAAGACACATGCAACTGTAAGGCTAATCATACTCAATGAACTGAAGTTATAAAAATATAAGAGAAATCAAAAAGCACTACTGGAAAAATAATTAGCAATGAAATAGACTATACATGCATTCAGTGGCTATTGGAAAAAACAAACGCAAACACGCAGTTTTCAAACAACACTTTCATAAAAAGAAGTTTGGGTTTACATGCATTTACAATAAAAATCCCCCAAAAAAGCAAAAATGTAAATATTATATATTTATTGTGATATGTTAACTAATGCAATGACATTTGTCTTACTATGCGATTACTTACCATTTTTATTGATCTTGTGCAATAATTATGTACTGTATACTTTCTTGTGGTGTGGTTTTAGATGTGTAACCTAGTAGACTTGGTATCAGCATGGTAAACTAGTTACTTATGTAGTTTCGGTAGACGTTATCCTTACAAATGTATATATATATATATATATATATATAAAGTATACACAAGAATATTTTAAGTATACTTGTAGTAAGTATACTAATATCTGTGTACTAGTAGGCTAGTATACTTGTAAGTGTACTATTTTAATACTACTTGGGACTGAATGATACACACTGTATAAAGGTCCTAGATCACATAGTTGTCCAAAGTGTATTATGGAGTTTTTGTGTGCTGATTTTCTTTCTTTCTTTCTTTCTTTCTTTTCAGAAAGACATTTTGTGTATTGTGAATGCACGGTTTTCATTCCAGTCAGAAATTAAATATGATGCTATCCTATAAGATGTTTTCAGAAGAAAAGTAGGCTATAATTTTGGAGCATGTATATCTTGAGGAGAAAGATGACTTGGTTTACAAACAAATGGAGAAAAGTTTGCTCATGAAAAAATCACTCTCTCTGAGCAAACAACATGATGTTGACTGTGTTTGAGCGTCTCCTACTCAATTTCATGTTCGTCTGAAGAAAAATAAGCACTTTACACAAGAGCAGATGCAAGTACAGATGAAGAAATGAAATTAAAACTCAGAGAAAGGCAGCATGTTCTCCGCTGGTTTAATTGTGTGATGGTGGGTGCGTGTTGCTTGTAAGTTGCTCCTCATTGACTCTTCTGTTCTTGAACTGTCATTGTTGTGAAAGTGATTGAGTGTTAACCAATAAAATATTCCAAAATGCAAATATTGAGCTGCATCCACATCAACACTCATGAATCTTCTACTGTAGCTCACTTGTCCTTTGATAAACCAAAGACGGCTATCTGTTCACGCTGTATGAGTAT